AAGGAAGTCAAGACCCAGACCTACCTCCCACATCCAAGTCCACTTTATAGTTGATGGAATGGGTGTGTATCGTGCCCAGCGTGTGCTCCCAAACCCTATTGCCGTATCTCAGACCATCCCCGTGGAGGAAGGACGAGCTCACGTACCCCGTGGCCTGGACTTTGGCTTCAATGGCCCCATTCTGGTAGAAGATGAAGTCCCACACATAGTCGTAGTTGCCCAGAGTTGCAATGGATCGAACAATCAGAGCAGAGTTGACTAGTCCCCCATAGTAGAAGGACTGCAAGTTGGAGTAGTGGCGCCTCAGAGGGGAGCCCAGGTTATGCTCAAAAACGCAGAGGGCGTTTTTAGTAGTTCTGGAGACCTGCGACTGAGCAAGGTAGTACACATCCATGTAAGTTGCTGAATAGGGGCAGTCAACACCACGCACTAAAGGAGAGGTGAAGCGCCCAATGCCAAAACTCCCATCCATGTACCTTGTTGACATCCCTCCAGGACAGTTGGAGCCATACACTGACAAGGCCTCTTGAACGCTGATCTCATAGACAACCCTCTCCCCCTGATATCTGACGTCAAACAGGCGCATGCCCGTGTTCACACTCATCCCAAAGGCAAAGCTCCAGGCCTGGAAGACAACATGGTTGTTCCTGACGCTGTAGCGGGGACCCTGGGGCTCATACTGCAAAGGGAACATCGCGGCAGGAGGGGCTCGCGGCTTCATGGATGAGAAGTCCCCGTCCCGTGGGGCTTTCTTCACCTTCTCCACACTGATGCGACCCTGCACGTAGGCGCTCTCCAGCTGCACCATGTCCCTGTAGTACTGCCCGTTGTAGAAGACTCTGCTCACCACCCACTGGGAGATGTCCAGGCTGCTGTGGTCCACCAGCACCTCCAGCCCCACAGGGTGCAGGAAGAACCCGCTCACATTCTGAAACAGAACAAACCAGGTGGCCCGATCTCCAGACTGGAAACCACGGGGAGCCGTTGTCATGGCTGCTAAACTGGTTTCATTATATTCAATTACTTGATGCATGAAAGATGGAGCTGTGGAGAACACTTGACTCCTTAAAAACCCTGCAATCTGTTTGTATTCAACAGCCAACGTTGGCCTGCGGTGGTATGGCACTCTCCCCCCATACTTCTGCACAGTGACGTCCCGGTGGTACGCCGGT